TCATATCGACTGAGCTCTTGCGTTACCAGCCTCCCCCATGTGGTCTAGCATTTCAAGCATCTTTTTACTCATTAATATATGTATATTAGAAATGTCGGGTGCTAGCGACGGTAATTTTTTGTATTTCGCTTTTGGAAGCAACTTGCTAAAGGAAAGACTCCATCTGAAGAATCCTTCGGCAGTTTTCGTCTCTGTAGGTCGACTGAAGGTTTGTACGTTTCTGTTCTAATAATCTGACCGAAATTTGTAATTACGTAAGATTTAATACAATAAACCTTTATCGTCGTAATCTGGTTAGTACCATTATAGACATGTAAGAGTAGACGCAGCACCGACTGCTTTCGCTTCTGGGTACTGACGTTGTTTGATGGCGCCATCTTGGGGCGGTCGTCAGCTCCGCTTAGTGTAATGTGTTGAATATTTAACTGTCACTTTTTTTCTGTGTCTTTCTGAAAACACACGATTCGATGTATTTAAATATTCTTAGTGGGTTATAGAGTAATAAAATACCTTTATTATTTAACCCGCAGGTTAGTGCAGCAGGTGGAACTCCCCATGACGGCTACCGTAGTTTCTGAGCCGTCACAGTCATTGCGGGGTTTACTCTAATATGACTGACATGCTATGAATGGTGCGTTTTTTAGCTCAAAGTAGCAATTGGCTGCTAGGTAGTCATGACCGCGTTGTGTCTAAATAAACCGTGCTAAAATCAAACGAATTTAAAATTATATATTCTTTATATGGAACAGAGTTAATAAACGACAACCCATCGGAGCCATTATGTCAGCTCAGAACTTTAGTGAGGATAAAAACCTAAAACTGAGTGGCTCAACTCAACCTAAATATATTATATAAATTAATTTAATAAAACTGCTCTGCAACCTTGGTGGACACGTGAAAATCCCGATAGAGCTTTCTCCTAATCGGGAATTACAATGTGCTGTTTGAAAACTACATTACCCAGAAACCCCAGGTCTAAACTGAAGTAGAAGCTTCATTCTGATCCGAAAAAGATTAAAAACGGGCTGTGGGGAATGCTTTCATGAATAAAGTTGGGTTATAAGCTTTTGTTTTATTAGTTTACATTTATATTTAGAAATATATTGTTTGAGCTCACCTTAATCATTTGCAAACCCGTCCATGTCATCTTATTTCAAGAAATTACCAACAGCAAAAAAAGGCTTAAACGACAGCAGGACTTTTCCTAAATAAAGTAATGTCAATTTTTGTAGCAGTTACACATTATATACAATGATAGTATTATGGAGAGACTGAGGAAGCTGGAGTGACTCTTAAATTAGTGATACAAATATCATTAGGAATAATTTAAAGGTATTGGGGAGGATTTTAGTGATTTTTTTTTAAAGCCCCGCCCTCTTCAATTAAAAAAATAAATGCACATGCACAACCCTGTACCCGTTCCGTGAGGAAACACCTATTCAATGCATGTGAGCATGCACGATCCAATTATCTTTGTGCAAAGTTGCTGTCCTCATAGCTCATACAAGCTTACTGTGTCAGAACGTCCGCCCTAACACTTCAATCCCTCCATCACTATATAGAACAGGGACAATATTGTATACGATATCGTAGACTTTATAGCGAACTCAGTTAACTGACCGATCAGACCGATAACTGCTTTTTGCTCCCTGTTGGTCACGTAACTCCACCGCACAGTTACTGCCTCATCTTTGTTATTAGTCGATGCTGTAGGCTAATGACAGCCTATGGCGACAGCGGGCTGTGACAGCAAATCCCATAATGCGTTGCGAGGAGAGCTCTCTGTGCAAAGATATATATATCTGCCTCTTCTGAGGCCTTTTTCTTCTCATACACTTCGTTGACACTTTTTTCTCTTACGACCCTCGGCCATTTTCAAAGAACAGAGGTGAGAAAGGTGAGCTTCAATGCCTGTCTGAAACTGTAGCTCACCGCAGATGTGTGCCTGAAAGCGCGCATGTGCAGAAAAAGAAAGCTAACGGAACATGCACATAGGATGGCCTTACTTAACCATATCACCAGAATGATTGACAATTAGGGGGACCACTTATTTAGATGAGCCATCTTGAAGATCATCCTCTATACCTTTAAGGTTGTAAGGTGAGCTTTAATAGCAACAGTATTGACAAAAAAGATCCATAAAGGGGAAGAATTTTTTTAGTCATCTGATTAATTTCACAGAAGGGTTTGGGTTAGAATATGAGGTTACGAGCTGCACTAGAACATCCTACAATTGTTCTTACCTTTTATAGGTTGAAATGCTACTACCCAATAACCTAGAGTTAAATTTTTTTCCCCCATTTATTTGCACTGGGACCTGTACCTTAGACAGGCGGCGTTATGTATGTTTAGCAGCAGAAATGAAGCGCATGTCACAGGTAGTTATGGTATTAACAAATAGAATTTAATAAGTCTAAAGCCATCTGCAAATCAGTTGTTAAACATATTTATGTATAAGAAAAGTCAAAGCAGATAGTGGGCTTTTGTATCTTTTCTAAACCAAATCCTGATTCTGTATACAAACTACCAGAGACATCAAGGGTTTGAGGCAGGAGCTGACCAACAGAGTAACACAGGAGGTAGGGTTGCAAAGGGCAAGCTGTCAGTGAGTAACTAAGCTTTTCTATTACATAGACTTACTGTTACAGTAATGTAAGTGGAGTTTTTTTTTTTGAGAAGTACAAATTTGTATTACTTTTTATTGACCAGACTGTGTTGTGTTCAAGCTGTTTAAAGAATTTTACTAGCCATTTTTATTTTAGGTTACCATAAAAAGCCTAAGATTGAGGAGGATGTTTAAATGTTGCAGTTCAAATATTATTTTTTCATATTACTTCATTTTTTATGTTAGAAAATTATTTCTTTAAGAACCCATTCAATTTTCAGTCTATCAACTTAAATGCATTTTTGACCAATAACATATTTACTGTAGGGCTCCTGGCAAAATATTGTAACCAAAAAAAAATCTTTTCCCCAATTTTTCTCCTACCAAATTTAATTTTTTCCTTTTTTTCCCCTTAAGTTGCATTTAAAAAACAAGCTTATATTTCAATCTCCTCGTCTGTAGGGTTAGCTTAAATCAAAGGACACACAATTCAAGCAGAACAGACTGAACATAGGTCTAATTTTCTCACTGACCTCATGTGTGTCTGCAGGACTACAAGCTGAACTTTGGCCTGTGGGAAGAAAATGTGCAAACTTCTTGGCACGGTGGAGTGGCCACCATTGAGTCCTGTCCAGGGGAAGAGGTTTGGGGGGTGGTCTGGACCTTGAGTAATGAAAACCTCTCAACCTTAGACAGGTGAGACACGCAACTGGTTAAAGGTTCATTGGTACAGTTCCGCCAGCGACATGTTATTTTTTTTATTTTTATGTCTTTCTGTAGCCAGGAAGGTGTGAGCCAAGGAGAGTACTCCCCTCTGGAGGTTTCCGTAGAGACTGAACAAGGAACGAAGCTGTGCAGGACGTATCAGATGAACAACTTCCACCCCAGCCCTCCATCTCCACAGTACAAACAGGTGTCCTAGAAACACTCATGTGGAAAATCATTTTTTTTATTGTTTCACTCTATTTGATTAAGACATTTCAATTAAAATACACCTCCCTTTCTACCTATACATACAGCCCTTCCCCATTATCTACATTAATTTCCCTCAAGACGTTGCAGCTTAAATAATTTATGTAGCACCTGTTGAGCTTTTTGTTAAGTTCTATCCAAAATATGACACATTTTATCAGAGGTTATCTAATCTGGTTGGTTTCTAAGCCGTTTATAATCTAATACATTAAAAAATTATTTAATTTATAGTCATTTAGAAGTTCAATAGTCATTTTTTATTCATTCTTTTGATGTATACTGGAGATTATTGTCCAAATAGAGCATCAACTAAAAACATATTTTCAACTTAAAGCATGGTTGTGGCAGAGGCATGCTAAGGGAGTGTTTTACAACAGCTGGCATTCCACAAAGTGAACGTAATGACTATAATGGACTACGTCCTTAAACTCACCTTAAATTAACAGCTAGACAGTTGAAGTTTGGATTTAAAGATATGAGGTTTAAATCCCTTTGGCTGCTAAAGAGGAAGCATTTCTACATATTTATATAAAAGGGTACTTCTAAGCTTTTAGAGAAATTAGTGAAAACCGGCATAAAATGCAGGTTTTACAGCTTTTTGCATCTAATGTGTGTGATCTCTAGATCACATTAAGTTATGGTTTTAGGTGCCAAGCAAAGCATTAAAATCTTTCTATTGTCTCTTTAAAAAGATTCAAGGTTTTTAAAAAATCACATAATTAGCTTCAAAGTTTGAAAAATCTCAAGCCTTGAAGGGTTTGAAACATAAATGACCTAGACCTGAAGCATCATCCTTGAATCTGTTTATTTGTTCAAGGTTCTGGCTTATGTTTTTGGCTTAATATTTTTTTGCACGTGTTTTTGTTTTGCATTTTGTTTTCCTACATAAAAAAAGGTGGTGTGCCTGGGTGCTGAACAGAACGGGCTTCCGAAGGAGTACCTGAAGAACCTGGAGGCCGTTAAGACCAACAACTACAGCGGCCCGTCAGTCCTGGATCGAATCAAAGCTGCCATGAAACAACCCGAAATTATTAGCTGAACAGAAACGTAGATAATGCAATTAATAATTTTTTTTTCAGACTCTGGTTTTGCTGAGACTTATTGTTAAGAGAGAGAGAACAACAGTTGTCTTTAGACTAGTCTTCATCCCTTTTCACTGATTTTGAGATTTCCCCATTTGCAGGTTTGCACCAATGAGTGGTTTATTTAAACATTAGCAATAATCTTTTAATGAACTACCAATAATTCATGAATTTATGTTATTAGATGTCTTCTGCAAAAAGCAATTTAAATATTTGTTTCAATGAAGAAATAAAACTGAATAATTTGTTTGAAAAGAAACCACTTTATTTTTTCCATTTTTATTTTTACACTTGCTGTGGCCCTGGACAGACTTATTTTATATCTAACCCAACAGTTTTCATATTTGAGCAGTTATAGAAAATACTAGTTA